TTTTACTTTCTTTTGAGGTAGTAAAGAGGTCATTACAGAATTTTTAATATGAAAGAAAGAAAAAGTATGTTAGCTTTACTGGATTGAGAGCCATGAAACTAGAGTATTAGCTGTACTCCACATTGGAACATTCCTCATGACTTAGGAAAGAGAAGCCCAATTTTTATTACTCCACCCCAGAATCAAATCTAATGGGGACCTAGTGAAGACTGTTAGTTAATGTAATTCTACCAGTCAGATGTTTAAAATATGCTTAGATAACTTGATAAGAAAGCCTTAGATCAAACCCCATCACCAGTGTTAAGGGAAATATTGGACAACCTTTTCCACCTGCATTGCTTTTTTCCAGTGTGCCCTATGGAATTCCCTCAGCTTTAGCAACACTCCCTGTCATAACTGAAAGTGGCAGTTTGCAGAAATGACAGGTGGCAACTCTGATTATATTTTTAATATTAAATATTAAAATATAGCCATTTCAAACTTTGTCAAATGAGGAAATTAAGATAAACCATGAAAACAGGTAGTAAGCAAGCAAAGGATGTACGGAGCAGATTTTCCCACAGATCTTTATCAATATGTCAATGTCAATGTCATGACCAGAAATAGCAAGGACTATGAGTGCGAATTAGCTAGTCAGCACACCCCCAGTGAATCTTTAGTTCTGTTTTGAAGATTGTCAGAGAAGATGCCCACTTGTGTCAGTCCTGATGTTTGTTCTTTTGTTGTAGGAATGACTTTTTACCGAAAGAAGAATTGGAGTAATAGAGCATATACTTTAAAATTTGTTATAGATTTAGTTTCATGATGTAGGGTAAAAGATTCCCTATTATTGATTCCTTTGAGAGATTTACTTCTTATTTTTTAAACCCATAGAAGAAGAAATAGCCTTTAATATTTAACTAGATTATGGATAGATGCTTCCATTTTAATGTAATAATTTTAAGGATCTGTTTTATAGTGATTATATTAAAGCCCACTTTTCTTTGTGGTTCTTCACTTTTCAAAATGCTGGCGGTAGAGATGTACAATCATCACATATCATGAGGGTCACCTCCACTGAGAAATATTCTCTATTTCCTTTTCTCATTCCTGTTTTAGAATTAGAGAATGATGTGCTTCCATCTCATTTCTCCCTTTACACTCTGCACTTACCTTTAATATAGTACTTAAAATCCTGTATTATAATTGTGTATTTACACGTCTATCATGCCTACTAAATTGTACATTCCTTAAGAGCTCAACTATGTCTTAATCATACTTATAATTCTGGGGTGAGCAGAGCAGCACTCAATAAGTAATGAATGCTTCAAAAGGCATTCCTAGTTCCCTCTAGAAAATTGCCAACATGCAAAATTTCCATGTTCTCAAAGATGGCTAAAATTCTCATCTAGCTGTCTTTGCCATTAAAGTAATCAACTCCATAGCTACTACCCTCACCCTGAAGCACTGCTGCAATTTCTGTCTTCCAGCCAAACCAAATTCTCTAGTTTCTTGCTTTGCTATGGACAGGGAAGGGCACTTTCTATCCAAAGTGATGAGAGTTAAGGGGAAAAAAAACTGTTGGTACCTGTAACTTTGCTTTAGTCTTAAAGGTGAGTGCAAGGAAGATAAAAGATTGTGTTCTCTGCTGGTCAGTGAAGATACACTCCTATAAACCTAGCTTACTCAGTGGGCTGAGTTCTGAGGATTTTTGTTCAAACCCAGCCTAAGCAGGAAAGTTCATGAGACTCTTACCTCACATTAACCACCAAAGCTCTGGAAGTGGAGCTGTGACTTGAGTGGTAGAAGGGTAACCTTGAGTGGAAATAGCTAAGGGAGAGTACCCTGGCCCTGCGTTAAGTACCAGTAAAGCAAGCACCAAAAAAGAAAAAGGAAAAAAAAGATGTGTAATTTATATTCTCATACATTTAAATTCTTAAAGTAGACAAAAATTACCAGACATAAAATGTACTTCAACCTTGGAAGCTTCCTTCAATTATTGTACTTTAGTCAAATGATGGTACTGAATAAAAACATGACAGGGGACCACTGTGTATCACTCCCTGGAGATTTGCAGAGTATAATACATCAAGACCCCATCCTAGAGTTAACCAGTTCAGGTACTCTCAGCAGCATATCACAATCTAAGTAGGATGATAAAAAAATGAAAGGAAGGAATAATTAAGAGATAATTAATGGCTAGTCCATTACTAGTATTTCTCTGATTGTTTTGATCTCTCTAAGTGGCAGATAATCAAGCACACAAAATTTACAAACTGAAAAGCCAGTCATTTAAGTCATTAGTTGGCAAGCTGAATAAGTACATTAACTATGTGTAGCCACTTCTTAAAACAAAACTGCAGTGTATGTTTGTAAATGCTAAGTTCAGATTTGGTATTATACATTTTTATTATTTTAGTTGGAAATCACTATTAGTTCTTAATTGCCCTCATTTGTACAGTGGCTGATGTGATGGATACTTTCTAAATTAGTGAAAAATAACATACTATTTAAAGACCTGGTATCTATTGCTTCTATTGTCAGGAAATAACATTTTAAGATGAATAAAAATTAAACATAAAATTATTCTCTTCTTTCCTAAATGTTCCTCTTTTTCAGATTTTTTAAATATGTCCATTCTATTTTTTCTCCTAGGGAGAGGGAGAATAAAAGGGACTAAGATAACTAAGTCCAATGAATTATTTTCCTTTCTGAAAGAATGACAGCGGGCATATGCTATTGTTCAATGTTGACATCTGTAAATCCTGATAGTTCTACCTTCAAGATACATTCGGAATCCAAATGTAGTAGCTCTAATCCTTCTCCTGACCTCTTCCATTGCCCCTTCTCTCTATCTCATTCTCCAAGTAGCCATCAGATCTTATTGCCCCTCGACTCAAATACCCCCCAAAAGCTTTATCTCTCATCTAAAAGTGAAAGGCAAGGACTTCCACTGCCACTTTCCTTATAGCTCCTTGTCACTCCCACACTGCCACCCTCAGTCCACCTCTTCACTTACACTGTCTTCCTGAGTATTTGTGGAAATACCAGGCACAGCCGCTCCTCTGGCCTTTGCAGCATCTGTTCCTCTGCAGAGCCCAAGGTTCATCATTTCACTGCCTACATATCTTTGGCTACAGTTAGTTTCTCAGCAAGACCACTCCTGTAGCCCTTTGGAAAACTGTATATATATCTATTCCACTTCATCCTTCCCTTTGTTATATTTATTTTTCCTGAAACACTATGAAATGTACTCATTATCATTTCCCTCCCTGTAAACTGCATGAGATCAGGGATTAAAAATATACTCTAAATAATGCTATCTCTCCAAAACGTAGATCACATAGAAGCATGCATATAAGCGTACTTCAAAATAAGTTCTTTCTGCCTTTTTATGCTGGTACAGAATTCTGTGGACGAAAATAAAGTTATGGGTGTGCTGAACAAAGCAAGTAACAATTTCTTTATTGATGGGCTAGAGACTTGAACACAGCGCTTGACTCATGCTAGCGTGCTCTACCACTGAGATATAGCCCCAGCTCTACAATATGTTTTCTCAAACCAAATTTTTTTTAACAATCTCCCATAGTATGTGTGAGTTAGAAGTGTGGCAGGTAAAGATAAGTAAAGGCAAGAAGAATGAATAAAGTTGGGAAGGGGAAAGATAACACAGATCCTGAACCAGCCTTGAAATGTTCAGTTCTCTATCTTTATTGAAAAAGATTCCCCAAGACCCAAAATTATAAAGGAAGTCACACTGTTAAATTATACAATTATGCAGGGATATATGATTACACTGAGCCAGCACATACATATTAAATTTGTTTTAATATAAAATTACTAAATTAAAGGTGAGTTAAAGTTTGCACAGCTTATGTTAAGAATTACAATATGGAAAGTAAACACACTACTATGCAGGAATTTGTAGCTTAGCTGTCACTGATAGCTAATAAATTCCTTCCCATTAAAATTTAATTGAAAATCTACAATGATATTTAAGCTTTCACACAAGTGTAAACTACTGTGACTACAAATCACAATGCATTTAAAACAATTATTCTTTATCATTAAAGTTAATAATATGCACATTAACCTCTTATGTAGTGTAAATCAATATTGTAGTTTGAAAGATATGACCTCTGGACAGCTTTGTCTAAATATTGATTTCATTGTCATTTGTATAAGGTATCAAACAAATTACATGCTGCACTAATATCATTAATGCTGCCCCCAAAGAGCCTATGACTTTATAGGTTCTTTTTAATACAGGATATGACATTACAGAAACATTGAGAACATCGCAAAGGATTATTGTTCAGTAGATGAGATTTGACTATGGCAGAGCAGAGGTGCTGTAAACAGATAACTTCCAAACCCAGTGGACAGAAAGGGGCGGGGGAGGGGGGAAGGGAAGCTCTTTACCATGCAGAGTGTTTGTTGATGTGAAGTTTGAAATGACAGAATTTTTTTTCTATCTCAGAGGGTCTAATTTACTTTGTTGCGATTACATACATATCTCAGAATAAAGTGGCTCGGCCTTAGATTTAAACTGTTATAATTCTGAAATAGACCAGAATTCTCAAATTTAATTTGCTTAGCAATTCCTGTAACACGTTACTAGCAAATCAAATGCGCTGAAAAATATATGTGCATAAGATTAAAGCAGGTGAACATTTCATATGGCCATTATAGACCTAAACAAACTGATTTAGGGATGGATCTATGCCATTTTCTCTTTGAAAATTGTTAGTTACAGTATTACTTTTGTTTAAAAAAAATTGTGAATTGAAATTCCGGCTATATTGGTTTCTCACTTTTTGCGGGTTCTAAATTCCTTTAAATCATAATAATTGCTAACCTCATCTAGTTGTATCTAACTTTGTTTTAATAGGATTTTAATATTTTTTAATGTTACACTTCATTTATTATAAATTTTGTGGGAAAGATTTATGATGTTGATTAGTACCATGAAATGGTAGGGTTCTGTTTATATTAACAGTGTTCCCCAAAATCACTTGTAGGTAAAAGTGACCCATTTTGTGTAGTAGAATTGAACAACGATAGACTGTTAACACACACTGTCTACAAAAATCTCAGTCCTGAATGGAACAAAGTCTTCACATTGTAAGTAGTTACTACCTTGATTTTGGGGCTCATTTCAGAATTGGTGTGAAATGACTTTTTTAAAAAAGATCTATGCATTTATTCTTCACTAATCCTCACAACTCAACACAATCTTCCCTGCTTTTACTTATAACCTTGTTTTATCACAAGGTTCAACCTTCCAAAGAGTGAAACCTTGGGAAGAAGGCGTACCATTTTTCTTTGTTTTTCACAGCCATTTTCTTTTTAGCTGCTTTTTCTATGATTTGGCTAAGGGTTTTGCTCCCATCAACAGATTCTCCATACTGCCTCTTCCTTTTATACTTTCTATTGAAATTCTTCCCAATTGCATTGCCACCAAGGAGGACAAAGCTCTATTTGTTCTATTGCTGAAATCAGCAAACAATCCTGTCTCGACTCCAGCAGATGCTTTAGTTTTGGTTTGTTTCATTTTAGCACAAGAAGAATATTAAGTATTTTCCTAGATAGCAAAACAACCTTTGAGTTAATTTTTCTTTGTTTTAAAAAGTTGGTAGATCTTTCAATCATGCCACTTTAAAAGCTGCTGATGCTACATCTTAGTACCTCCTAAGTCCACTTTTTGAAAACTGAGCTTTAGAATTGAACTCTGAACAAAGGAGAACTCTCCAAACAGAAGTACTTAAAAGTTTTCTAACACAGTTTTATTTTTGTACATGGAAAACTGCTAAATTCCTCATTAATTCCTTATAATGTCTCTGCCTAAGAACCAGTATCTAATCAGCTTTAATTATCTGACCAATTTATTTTTGAGGAATTCCACATTTTTATAAGAGATGAAAGCCTGGGTAGGCGACTTGCACTCCTAAGAAGGTTGAAGAGAATGTTTTTCTTTGGAATGCATAATTGAATGAATAGGTTTGATTATTATAAAAGCCATTAATTGATTGTGCCCTGATAAAGCCTCTTCTCACACGTGGTCGTGGGTTTTCAGTGATGAATATATTCTTTTGTTTTGTTTTCGCTTATTCATGTTTTCTTGGTAAACAATTTGATCAAAGAATACATGCTGTCAATAATTTGCATTTACTTTTCCAGAAACAAAAATATGAAGCACACACACACACACAGTTGTTTGTTCTCATATATTGTCTTTGGAACATTACTTGATTTCTCAATTCCAGGGTGGTACAAAGGCTATAAATGTTACATTTTTCTCTATTCTGTTTTTTTCTGTTTGTTCATTTTTACTATATACCTAACAACTAAGTTGACATTTTGGTGAAAGAAAATGGTCTTTATTATTGAAAATAATAATTGCCCCCCCAAAAATATACTGTGATTCTTTCTGATATCAAATCTGATGGTGAGTCATATGAAGATTATGGGAAGATGATGCTTTATTGTTATAATGAGAAGTTATCATCTAAAATTACCAGTATTACTTACTTATTTTTTTTACCTGCTTATTCTTTGTTCATCCAAAGGGGAAGCTATATTTCATTTAAAAAATTCTAACTTGAAATTATAATGGGCTTGAAAGTTTTAGGTAATAGAACCATCAATGTAGTCAAGTAGAGAGCATTCTGGGAAATTGTGTCACATACTAAGCTCTATAGGTGTATATGCAATCGACACATAAAAATAGAAAATCAGCAGGAGGTATCTAAATTGTCAAAAACATTCTCGGTGCTGTTTGCTACTGATGAAATCTCTTTCTTCCCCCCTTATACATGGATTATACAGCAACATAAAAGATATCCATTCAGTTCTTGAAGTGACAGTTTATGATGAAGATCGGGATCGAAGTGCTGACTTTCTGGGCAAAGTTGCCATACCATTGCTGTCTGTAAGTTTTATTCACCTGACACACTCTTCTGTGTTGCTTTTGCTCAAGTTTAAAAAAGAAAAAAGAGAAAGAAAAAAAAACCTTCAGCTCTATGTCTGTCATTTCTCACCCAAGGTCTGTAATAAGAACACTAAAATTTTTAACATACTCAATTCACGGCCATGTTGAATCCCATGATAGTTAATTTTTCCTGACAGACTTGATCCTGGTAATGAACAGGTACTTGTCAGAATTGCCACAGTTGTTTTGGGTTCTCTGTCAGTTTTAGCAGCTGGGGGTCAAAGGTCACCGAGGGAGTGTATTCAGTGGAGACCGCGAGACAGACGGCTGTCATGTCCTTTTCCCGCAGATTCAAAATGGTGAACAGAAAGCCTACGTCTTGAAAAACAAGCAGCTGACAGGGCCAACAAAGGGGGTCATCTATCTTGAAATAGATGTGATTTTTAATGCTGTAAGTCTTAACTTTGGCTTTTTTGTACTGCTAAAGAGTTCAGTTTCATGAAAGCTTTTGTTCCTGATTTGTAGAGAATTTCTGTCATTCCTCATTTTCTCTAAACCTTGATGTCTCCTGGAGAATGCGCTTCTGCCACTGCCTGGCACACCCACACTCTCTGTGATAGTTGGCGACTGCTCTGTGCTGTGCGCGGCCGCTGCCTGCCTGCCTGCCTGCCTGCCTGCCTGAGAAAGGGAAGAAAGCCCATGCATGTGCAACTGTATACATTTATATTTTATGAGCACAGCCACCAGGACTTTGAAACTTTCTAAATGATTGCAAATCGAACTGCGTGAAAAAAAAACTGGTAAACATTTGTAATCTATGAATCCATAACAGACACATATGTTGATATATAGGTGAAAGCCAGCTTACGAACATTAATACCCAAAGAACAGAAGTACATTGAAGAGGAAAACAGACTCTCTAAACAGGTAAAAAAAAAAAAAAAAAAAAAAGGCAAGGAAAGATTCCTCCCTCTGGGAAGACCTGATTGTATCTGTAAAACATCTTAGTAAATTCAAATAAATTTTGGAGGTCTGGAGGGGAGGGGAAGATGATGGGAAATTGTGGATCACCTACTAATTGAAAATGGCTCTTTTCTTTCCTTTACTCTTCTCCTTTCTGGAAAATCTCAAACAAGGACAATACCAAAGTAATAAATTGGATGGGGGTGGTCAGAAAGGAAAGGGGATACTGTAGGTGCTGTCTCTAATGGATATGTACTCATGCATTAGCAAAAGAGTGATCTTTTTGAACATAAAATACAGTTTGATTGTCATGGAGTGTGTAAATGAGAATGCTAAAAGCTGAGGTTCACATATATGTGCAGACCACCCACAGGTATGATGCAGGTGTGTGTAAATGGAGCCCCCAATAAAGATCTTTCCTCTAATCCACTGGTGGGTGGAGGATTTCCATCTTTTAAGGCAAACCTTCCTGTTAATTAGATTTTAACGATGATCTTTTAGAGGTGAACTTTCATTGACATTTTCACCAAAAAAAAGCAGGAAATCTGATTTTTTTATGATAAAGGAGTTTTAAATTAAGCTTGGAATCTATCAATTATAATTTTAACTTTAGTTTGATGTCAAGAAAGAATACTACACTACCTTATTTTTTTTTAAGATTCTATCCAATTAGCAGAGCTAAAAGAAAAAGTAGTTATTATGGCTGTAAAGTTTACTGAACTTATTTGTGCTCTGAAATATTTGACCGGTTTGGGGCTATTAAAATCTAAGAACATTTTAACTTACACTTTAATAAATTCACCATCAACAATAGGATCTCGGGTGTTTAAAGATAGCATATGTAAAGCAATTATCTAGTTAAATAGAAATAGAGATTATATTTCTCTACAATTGCAGATGAAAATAATAAAAAAAATGCTCTGGAAGAAAGGTGATAGGGGCCAAGGATGAAACACACAAGAAGATTCTTTGTGTGAATGGAATTTCAGTTTTAGCCACTTGTTATAACTGGTATACGCATATTTTGTATCTGTATTGACACATTATACATTTTGCCATAGTATTTCATTAAGCTTTACATAGCTACTTCTTTAAAATACCAGATCAGCATTGAAGTATATTTGGAGTGGCAAAACAATAACCTACAGACAAATGATTATTCTGTTAATATTCCTGTATGTCATCATTGTAACCATTACCAAGTACATAAGCTAATCTTTTTATTATTTAAGTTGTGGTAAAAAAAATTAAATTTATTTCAATTCTCATTTACTTTTCTAACAAAAAGATTTTTGTAAAGCATTTTGTCACTATAATTTTTTTCTCTAATTCTAAAATTATGGAAACAGTGAGGATATGTAGGTTAAACATAATGTGTGTGAAAAAGAGACCAAAGTGACAGGAGAGTAGAGAATATGATAGTAAGAAAGGAAGAAATCCTACAAAATTAATATCCTGTTTTCTATAATAAGCTATACTTTTTAGCTCTTTCCTTGAAATCTTGCAAGCTATTGATCTCACTTTGAAATCTATTGGAATTAAAACATTTAATTCATCTTAAAGTCACACACACACACACAAAAATGAAGTTTAAAATTAATCAAGGTCCATCATCTATAAATAGCAGAAAAATGGACAAAGGATTCCAACCAACATGATAGCATTGTTTTTAAAAATATGTTTAGCTAAGAGCCTGCTTTTATAAATCAGTGCTTTTTCTACTTTCTCCAGAAATAGTTCTTTCTCTTTAACTTGTAAGCCAAATTGCTTGGTATGTCCTTGCAACTTTTTTTTTTAACTTTTGAAGTCTCTTTTAAATGACAATAAGCTTGAAGAATTATGCGGTGTATCTGATTGTTTTCTCCTCTTGCCAACTCTGATGTTTCCATTTTCTTTACAGTTGCTACTAAGAAACTTTATCCGGATGAAACGCTGTGTCATGGTGCTCATAAATGCTGCGTACTACATTAATAGTTGCTTTGATTGGGATTCACCTCCAAGGAGCCTTGCTGCTTTTGTGGTATGATCATGCTATATTACTTACATTGTTATTCATTAAATTCAGTACTCATAGATGCATGTTTCTGTGGCTATAGTAACAGTTATGTCGATGTGGCCATTTAAAAACTCCTATTTTAAGACTTGACTGGACAGATTTGCTGTGGGCAGGAACCTGATGGATTGTTCAAGGTCTGAGTCCAAGAATATACCTCCCCCCCGCACCCCCCGAGATTTCCAAAACGCAAGACATCACAGCCAATGTATAATTTTCTCTGTTACACTTAAAAAGTAAAAATTCTGCATGTTGCATAATTCCAAATTGCAATAAGAGAGCCAAGAACAAGTCCTCCTTGTGAAAAATAATGATAGTAATAGTCTGGGCCAGTCTTCCTTTGATTTGATTCATTCTTGAATTTGGAATTTGTTTCTGCCAAAATATGAATATTATGGGTAGTAAAATTCTGGTTGGTAATACCTTAATATGTGAATCAATTGGAAGTGGATATGACCTATTTAACAGATATTTTATTATTTCTGAAATCTCCAGTTTTTAAAAAGTCACAAGTGAGAATTCAATCGATCTGAACAGTTCTACCAGTGTTCATCATGTAACCTTTTACTTTTGATTATTTAAAAACTGCTGATGAGACCAACTGGCAGAGGCAGAAAAATCCAAGAATATTATTTCCTTTGAGCTTTATCTGGGATTTTCTACTCTCAAGTATTTTCGCTTATTTATAGTATTTTAGTTTGAAGTGATGTTCATGTTTGTTAGCATTTAAGTACCTAAGCAGTTGCAGTTGCACAAAAAAATATGACTTTATTTCAAGGGCTTACAAGAAATGCCTTAATTATAGTAACAAACCAACATTTTAGTATTACCATTCGAATGAATGTCTGCATATCTGTTTAATACTTTGAGTTCTACCCTCCTCTCAGGCCTTGCAGTAGACTTGCATTAATGTCTGAGCACACAAACAAAGAATGTGTATGTCTCTTTGTGTTTTAAGTTACCAGAAAGTTAGGCAACCTGCTTCCCATATACATGTTTTCTCATTTAAAAAAGTAAGTCTTATCTTCATTAAGTTTTAGAGGAGGAAAATTTTTTTTTTACATCTCTCAGTACTTGTTTTAGTGGCTGCTTCACATAATAAATATATCAGAATACTGTTAAACAAACTTTAGCCTGATTTTTCACTAGCATAGAGGAGGTTTGTCAATGTTAATAAGAAAAAAATGACGCTGAGTTTCTAGGTCTACTTTATATCCTTCTTTCCAGGTTCTAGGAGGCCTTAGAGCAGCAATAAAATTCTACTAGAAAGGTCATGCTGCCATTTTTATTCACTTCTTCTGAAGCCATTTTCCACAGCTGTTTGTGAAATTTGAAAACAGAGAAATGTATAAAATTATATCATTTGTTCAGGTACATTCATTCTGAATCCCTGCGTAGCACAATGTGTTGTGTATGGCCTCACAAACTTCTTCCAGCTGCAGGAGTCTCTCAGGTAAAATGAATTCAAGATGGCAGCCCTTTTCACAATGTCTTTCTCATTGTAAGAAGAAATAATTTGAAAAAAAATAGTCACATGCACATATTACTTGACTGTTTTCACTGGAAGAGAGCAGATTTCACTAGAGGAAAAAATGTAATAATAATCTGTTCTATCTGGGGACCAATTTGTAGCAGATTCAGTCCCACAAAGTAAGCTGAATGCAAGAGGCTTGCAGAGAAAGAGAATAGATACAATGAAGATAGGGCAAGGCCTGCGGACACACAGGGTAACAAAGAGGTCACAGACCACAATGTGAGCACACACTGAGAGTACTTTCAAGAAGAAACAATAATGTTAGCTGCTTCATTTTTTAAAAAAAAAATCAAGAAGCATTCAATGATATTCATAGAAGCAAACTGCCTTTATGTGGACTTGAGCTGAGTTCCAGGAGAACAGAACCACGCCTTTTTCATCCTGCACTATAGCATCTCTACACTAGAGCAGCTGGCAGTCTATACACTCCTAGGAAAATATACTTCTAAATTAGTGGACCTACCATTGAACCAGCAGTCCATCTGAAAATTATTTCTGTATGGAGAACCTCATTCTTCAGTGATACCTGATAAATAAGGGCTGGGTGGGTTCATTGTTATATCATGACAGACACGCTTGATCCATTGTAGCAATTTTGCCTCTTGATTCCACTTGAATCTTAAATTATTTGGTAATCCTGTGTCAACTATCTATTTAACCTCAGATTAAACTATGATACACAAAATTTATGTGTAAATAGCCAACTAGTATTTATTAAGCATGTATTATATGATAAAGAACTATTTCTCACATGAAAAACACTTAGATACATTAATGTATTTAAGAGTCCTAACAATTTTATAGAGTGGATAGTACTATTTTCCCAGTATTTAAAGGAAGAAACTGATACACAGAAAAGTTAATAAGTGTACCGTAGGCAACACAGTAGATATTATTTCTTTTCTAAAGAGTCTTCTGAATATATGTCTTCCTATTTTAATATCATAACAATTCAGAAAAAAATCCCTGTTATATGACTCTTCTTCACCTTGTTGAAATTAAAAGTGATCAGTATTTAAAAACAACATCTTTCAAAGATCTCCTTGCATGACTAGAGCCTTACTAGGTCAGTTTATTGAAAAGAACTGCTTTCCACTAGGAGAATATAAGCAGCACCCATTGTTACAAACATATTGTTCCCACCATGCCCTGTTGATGGATCATGGGTCTATTATTATAATATTGGTTCCACTTGGCCCACTTTTTCATAAATGCAGCTGCCTTGTGGAACACACACATTTGTAGCATTATGTAGCTTGGTTGTAGGCCCAAATCAGTATACTTCATAATGTTTAAAGGTCCTTTTTCCTATTACATGTTAGTTTTCTTTTCTAATTTTCTTCCTCCAAATTAAAAAAAAAAAACCCACAAATAATCTTTTTTGTCTCACTGTCAATGAACATGAAAGCAGGAGAAATTCTGAGTGAGAGCAGCTGCCATTTCTGAAAGCTCTACCTGAGTGTGTTTGGGGGAGGGGTGGGGGGAAGATGAGGATTCAAAGTCAGCTGATGGCAGCAGAGGCTGAAACTGGCCAGAAAGGGGACAGTAAAAAATAAGCAAATGCATTTCTGGGAAAGGCTTTGTTTTTGAGTGAATTCAGTGTTTAATTTCGTTATGAATATTGTCTGCCTAAGAGCGAATGTAGACGTGGATGGTACAGAAGGCTCTACTTGTCTTGGTTATCATCTATTGTAGATGTGGAATGTCTCATAAATTGGACCTAATTTTCATCAGGCTCTTGACCAGACATTTGTGTTCTTGTGGATGTCAGTGGGTACAAAATGGGGAGGGGGAAGGAGTGCACATTCTCTTTTCAGTACTGTCATTTCTCACTGTAATGAGCACAAAAATAATTGGACAACTGAGCTATCAGTAAAAGGACACACTTCAGTGTGTGTCAAAGAATTATTTTACAGGACAAACTTTAATCTTTAAATGTGATTGTAGATAATTTGTGGTACCATCTGTCCATTTGGAATTGTTTTAGCCTTTTCTGTCGTTATACAGTAAGTGCCGCTGTGTTTAACATTAACATTTGATATTTTACACATTTAATTTCTGTTCTGCTGTGTGGTCCTTAGGGAATGGAGCGCTAGTGCTACATGAGAGAGACAAAGTATTGATCAGTTAACATTTCAGCTACATTTATGTATGTCGCAAAATTAATGAAAATGCCAGACAAAAATGTCAGAGTGCACAAAAAGGTAGAATTTAAATTTGGTACTTTAATGAAAAGTCTTAAGATGTGCATTATCACAAATGTCCTCTTGCTTTAATGTACAATTCCTAGCAGAACAACTAAAGGGAGACACATATTTTACTTAGAGGAACAATGAACATGAATTATGAAGCGATGTCAACTCCTCAAAGTACCTCGTGTTCCAAAACGGCATGTTTGAATGCTTTCACTGTTAAATCATAAAATGCTGTTTCTGTTCATATGTTTCTGTTCATATCTGGAGGGCTACTGGCTTCAGTCCCCTGGCCTAGCCAGTCTGAAACAGACTTCCTTCTGAGACTGTCTCCTTAGGTTTACTCTGTGTGTGTATGTATGTGTGTGTGTGAATTCTCTATGCGAAAATAGAGAATTCCCTCTATAGCAATTCATTTTGGTTTGTTACTCGTTCTTTCTGGGTCCTTTACAAATGCCTGGTTTTCCTTTGCATCCAGATAATTTGTGTTCTACCGATCTTTATTTTAGTAAAGGATCACACATGGAACAACAGATACCTTTTTAAAAAAAAAAAGAAGAAGAAGAAGAAGCTGGGTCATTATACAGGAAGGCACAGAGAAAGCAGGAGTGATCTATTCAAAGAATGACATGAGAGAGCTCTTTGTAGCCAAATGATTCTTTATTAAAAAATGGAGGAAGCCACAGGAAAAGAGTAGGACCTGGACTTGCAGAAGCTCAGGCAATGACACTGTGATATGATGATTGAAGACAATAGGCCCTTCGGTTTAAGGGTCCTTTACTTTGTACTTCCTCCTCCCTAGAAAGTCCACAACTACCAAACAACTTATGGATTTTTCTAAAAGTTATTATAAACCACAAGGACATTTTTTTAAGTTACCTTCACCATCAAGGTCTAAAAGTAGAGCATTGCTTAGGAAGAAATACCAATGTGAATACAAAGGCTTCTCTGCTTCACCTCTAGTTAAATCTGGGTGTTCATATTACTATACATTGAAATGCAGCATAATTGTACTGGACATATTGAAGATTACTTTCCATCTATTACAGAAATTTCTATTTAGCATAAGTCAGTAATACCACACCAAAAAATTAAGCTTCTAGTCCATGGCAATTTTCGTATTATTTTTATAGGTACTTTTTTTCGTTGGTGCTATTTTTGGAGATAAAATTACTTTCCAGAATTAGCAGAAAAATTGAAAATGTCCCATATATAATTTTTGATACTTTCTTTACAACAGC